TATTTAAAAATAAGTTAGAAGGTTCCCCTTCACCAACATTTCTAGCCATTCTGACAGATGCAAGAATAGTATCTCATTGTGAGTTCTATTTGTATTTCCCTGTTGATGAGGAATTACAAACTAAGAAAATCTTAAGCAACCTGGAGGTAAATTAAAATATAACAACTATAATTTTAATAAAATGTAGATTATGATGCATCTCTCTTTCTTTAAAGATGTATTTATAAACATATTATGTACTTCCAAATAGAAAACTTAAAGACACAAAAGTTATGCCTTTCTTAAATGATTATAATTTTATAAAAATGTTCAGTTTCACATCAAACAATGAGAGAAGCTCTCTAAATCATCTATGATATAATTTTTATATTTACTAAGGGAAAGTTAGAATAAGGAGATTCTAACTCCTTTTGTTAAAGAAAACAAAAGGAGATTAATAGGAAACTAACAAGTACAATTTAACAAGTTTGAGAGAAATATTGGGATTTCTAAGAAAGAAATTTAATTGTGATTCTTGATGAAGCAGTTATAACCTAAGTGTTGTTATATCTGGCTTAGGTTCTCAATAGAATGTTTGTGGAAATAAATTGAACTGAATTTATTTTCATTTAATTATATTCCACACACAAAAAAAATTAAAAAGAAACAAAACAAAATAGTGACTAAGACAGAATGAAGAGATTTTGATTATTATCATTTAACAAAAGAAAATTTTCTACCTTAACCTGAATCATTACTCCTACATCTTTATTGCTTAAAGAATGAAATGTAATACTTTTAGAGTAACTCTGGACCATCAGGTACTTTTTACAAAATGTGTTTGAGAATTTAGCTTTTCCATTAACTGTGAGAAAGTTATTAGGCAAATTAAAAGACACAATTTTAAGGAGAATGCTTACCTAATGAAGAGAAGAAAACTTTTTAAGGCATTTCTGAAAACTCATTTACAGAAAAGTAATAAAATTGTACCCTGTCAAGTGGTCTGAACAGATTTGGTTAATGCTTTAATTTTTTATTTCTATTCAATTGTGGAAACAGGTTTCTTAGCAACAGTGGCTGCATACTTATATGAACTATACATGTATTTCATTATATATAGATCATAAACACCTTTTTAAAAATTTAAATCTCGTCTACTTACCAAATAGGGGTAAGATGATTCAAATTCTATATTTCAGGGATTTTCTCATTTACACAGGTGGCTGAGGCCAAATTAGACAGTTCATGTTATACTTTTATAAAGAGTTGCAATTAAAATATCATTCTCCCCTTAGATTGGCTGTGCATTGTGGCAAACCTAAAGTAAACATGTCATCTACACTTTAGAAGAGTGTATGTCCTGAAAAATAATCGACACATTTTAGAACAGGGTCATCTTCTATGAAAATGTCTAGTAAATGTAAGAGTAACTCTATTTTCGCTTCCTCAATGTGGGTCGTTTCTTAATTGCTATATCGGGCAACACATCACAATTTAAAATGGTGGCTGTTGCTTCATGGTTATTGTTCAGTCAGGCACAGGTATCAGTCAGTCACCCTAAGGTAGGACATCAGGCCAATGACAGGACCTAGTACTAACCTACAGTCTTGGAGTTTGATCAGTTATGGGAAGAGTCTGAAGATGCTTAACTGAGTAGATAATGTTCAAATAAGTTTCAGTAGTACTCCAGAAGGAGATAGTAAGTTTTCCGGAAAGATAACATCCAGAGAAAGGAGGTACCAAAAAATATGGTGATGGAGCTAAAAATTAGATGCCAGACAATAGTGAATGAGAGCCAAACACAAAACACTGTTGTGTGAAATAGGGCCTGGATGTTTGTGCTTATGGTTTGTATTTTAGGGCTTTGTGTAGGAGCTCTGTGGTACAGGTATTTTAAAGTTGAGGGCTGTGAATGTCACAGCTTGGTTCCAGGAGTAAGCATGTTTTTATGTTAGGGATTTTTTTTTTTTTTTGTAATCTGGGAAGTAAAACAAAATAATCCTTAATGTGGAAAGAGAAAGGAAGGAAGGGATATACACACACATGTACACACACGCATGATTCTATGCTGAGCCCCATATATTTTATGTCATTTCACCTTTACAATAGCACTTACTGTTATACTGTTAGGTGAGTATTATTTTCCAAATACAAGAGAAAGACTAGGTATCAGAGGGGAAAGATTTTGAAACCAAAAAACACACTCTTAACTAAAAGAAAAAAATGATGGTTACCAGAGAGGACTTGGGTGAGTGGATGGTGGCGTGGGGGGGTGGAGATGGCACAGAATATGTGATGGGGAGTAAGGGGGGCACTTACTGTGATAACCACCGGGTGTTATATGGAAGTGTCGAAACACTAAATTGTACACCTGAAACTAATATTACACTGTATGTTAACTAACTGGAATTTAAATAAAAACATAAAAAAAGAGAAATCATCAACTTCCCCTCCCTAAAAGATTGCAAATTATCCCCCTTGATAGTGTTCATTACCCATAGAATCATGTCCAAAGTCCTAAATGTACTTTATATGACCCTCCTTGACCTAAATCTTTTAACTTTTTCCATATGACTGTGCATTTTAGATATTTTTCCCATGATTTCCAGCAGTTTACTGTTAGTTTACCCCGCACACCATAGTTTTGCTATGGCTGTTGCAGCTTTCTGAAATGCCTTTCCTCCTCTCCACACTTTGCCTCTATCTCGCTCTTCTCCTGAATAATTCCTGTATCACTTTCTAACGTCAGCAAACATCATGTGAAGGAAGGTTTGCCTGAACCAACAGGTGTTGAACTGGGTGTCTTCTCTGCCCTATCCGGCACTGAAATTACCTGTCTGTGTCTCCCTACTGACTTCTCACTGGTGGGCATTGTACTTTACTGTATGTCTCAACTCTAGGAGAGTGTCGAGTGTAGAGTAAGGCCTCAGAAAATATTTGGTGAATTGTACAATCGGACCTAGTTTCTCTACACCAACAATTTTCTCCAGAAATGCTACAGTCACTAAGGAGATTCAGTAGCAAGGTTCTTCTAAATTATTCTTCTGACCAATTGAATAAAGGTACTGGAAAAGGGTTTTGTGAGAAAATGATTTCTTGTTCGGAAAAGTGGATGATGTGATAGGGAGAATTAGCTCTATTATACTCTGTCCTTTCTGACCTTTAAATATGCCTTAACTTTATTATTTATTTATGTGTTTATGTGTTTATTTATGTATGTATGTATTTATTTATATAATATTAATTTCTGAGAGTATTCCTCCCATCCAAGTACTAATCAGGCCTGACCCTGCTTAGCTTCCGAGATCAGACGACACCGGGCGTGTTCAGGGTGGTATGGTCGTTCTGAGACTATTCCTATGAGACAGGATGCAACATTGAAATCATAAGACATCAATGCATTCTCACCCATCAAATCAACAACAGAAATATCCAAGGCAGATTAACGGCATGGCTCATAATCTGACTCCATCTATAAAAGCAATTGGTTTTAATCTAGCGCTGAAATGAGATGCAAACTAAACTCAGTTTAATTCTTTTTATGTTTTTGTTTAATTTTTGACAGAGAGACAGAATGTAAGTGGGGGAGGGGAAGAGAGAGAGAGAGGGAGACACAAGCTGAAGCAGGCTCCAGGCTCTGAGCTGTCGGCACAGAGCCTGACGCTGGACTCAAACTCATGGACTGTGAGATCATGACCTGAGCCGAAGTCGGATGCTTAACCTACTGAGCCACCCAGGCACCCCCACTAGCCCCAGCTTTAAATAACCAACTTGTCAAAACAGTAACTTGCTATTTTGAAATACATGACTTAATAACTTCACAATGAACAACCAGATCACTTTCTTTGTCCTGGGGATTTAGATGGGTTCATTCGATGATGTCTGTATTGACCTCACCATGATTCCCAGGCTAGAGTAGTGTTGATAAATTTATTGTACATTGAGCCTTTTGATGAACAGAGCTCTTTCAGATTCAGTGCTATTTTAAAATTGGTAAGACTACATAATGACAATTATGAAAAACATTGATGACCTATTTCAAACATCAGCTCTAGAATTTCTATGTGAACTGAGGCACATTCCTTAATATCTCGATGCTTCAGTTTCCTCATAGGTAAAATGGGGAGATGAATAATTCTTACTTTTTAGAGTTTTTGTGGGGTTTAATAAGGTAATACAAGTAAGCATTTAGAACAGTATCTGGCACATGTTAAGATTTCAAAATGCTTCTTACTATGATTGAAAATATGTGTTTGAAAAAGATTTTTCACTCTATATATCTGCAGCATAAGGATTTATATCATTGCAATTTCTGTTTTTTTTAAATTTATTTTCTTGGACTGCTTTAGTCCAGTTTCTTCATATAAAGAAGGTAACATCTGTTGTTATCAAAAAGGTTAACTAATAAAGAAGATAAAGGGACATTGTTCACTGCTTTGTTTTGTTTGTTTGTTTTAGAAAGTTGTACTGATATATAGAGTAATAAAACGACAGTGTCTCCTTTATATGTGTTTGAGGGGAATATTTCTCTATAAATGCCACATTGTCGGTTCCAAAATTGCCCCTTAGTTTCCATAATATGATTTTTTTTTCTATCCGTGGAAATAAAGATTCTACCTCTGTTCTGGCCGAAGTTCTTTGTTGCTGTATCCAGATGCTTCTCCTACCCCCAGTTCTTCCCGCAGCCATTAAGGAATCTTTTACTGCTTGGAAAAGTTTTAATATTCAGCAGGTTAAGGAAACCCATGGTCAGCTTTAGAATTTTCGTCTCTGCTGAGCTTTCAAGGTGTCAAGACCCTAAAATAATATGAACAGCAGGAGCACTAAATCTTTCATTATATCCAGTTTTCCCTTGAGCATACTGACTTTGCAATAAAGAAGCTGTCATTTACACTCTTCTTTATTGCAAGATAGGTAATAGCTACAGGGAGAAAAATAAGGAACTGTGTCAAGTTAGCCTGACTGCCATTATGATTAATGTGTAATCACTGCACATTTGCATCTGCTCTTTTTATATACAGGTACTTCATAGATTGGAAGAGTGATGGGGACAGCTACTTTACAATAGATGGAACTGAAGGAACTATCGCCACGAATGAGTTACTAGACAGAGAAAGCACGGCGCAGTATAATTTCTCCATAATTGCGAGTAAAGTTAGTAAGTATGGCATGGACACAATCAATGTTACACTGCAGTTCTTCGTATTGAACAGTCTTAAACGAGTCCCTGCTGAGGTGTTTTTCATTTTTCGACTGACAGCTGAGTGGTCTCCTGGGGAAACTCAGAAACCTGTTCTTTTTCCTCATAGCGTAAGTCCGGAGAAATTGTGACAGCTGCCAATGAGTCCTGTTCGCAGGCTTGCATGAATATCTAGTAGTGCATTTCATTGTGTGACCTCATCGCTTTCAATGCTACACCCACAGAAATCCATCGGTGTTCCAACTTCTCTCCCATGCCGGACCCCCTGTACTGTAATATTGGGAGCTTTGGACACCAGGCATGAGGAATTCATTATCACGCAAAACAGCCCATTCTGAAATGTTTTCTCACACTGAAGAGAGTATTTTTAAAATCACCCCTCTTCCTTCTCTCTTTTTCATAGAATGTAATTTTAATGTGATTTTTTTTTTTATGAATGTCACTGTGGGATATATAGGAGCTGTAAGTGGTTTTCTTCAAGGTGTCCCTCAGAATTAATAGGATTGCTGTCACTGGTCCCTTGTGTTGGTGTCTGGTTGGTCCAGAATAGAATCCTCTAGACTGAGAGTGACCTAGGACTTACATGTTTGGCTGGACAATGTAAGACATTATCACAGCTTCCTAAGGCAACAGATTAGTCGGGGGGGATGGTGACGTTTGGTTATCAATGTAGTTGTTTGCAAAATAAGTGGGTCTTCCAGTCCCTCTGCTTAGAATCTCCTGAAAGGTTTGGCGAAATCCTTTTATTTTTTTATTTTTTTTAAAATTTTTTTTAATGTTTTACTTATTTCTAGGGGAGAGAGAGAGAGAGAGAGGGTGAGCAGGGGAGGGTCAGAGAGAGAGGGAGTCACAGACTGAAACAGGCTCCAGGCTCTGAGCTGGCAGTCAGCACAGAGCCCGACGCGGGGCTCGAACCCACGAACCACGAGATCATGACCTAAGTGAAAGTCGGTCGCTTAACCGACTAAGCCACCCAGGCGCCCCTGGGGAAATCCTTTTAGAGTATCTCTCATTTTGTTTCCTTCTTATTTTATTTTGTTCATCTGCTACAGATACATTGGCAGCTAATTTCATTTTTCTATGCAAGGAAGAGTTGACTGCGACTATTTCTGCTGAGGGGTTTTTGTTCAGTCTCAACTCAGTGGGGTGTAAATATTAAACAGTTTTGTTTATCTTCAACAATTGTGACTAAACATGAATAGCCAGACATCTATTCTCAGGCCTTACTGACGTCTTTAGCCAATTGCATTACCTCTAGGTTATTCTGATTATTAAAGGTCAGACTTATAATAAAGAACATGCAGCTTCTACCTTGTTTGTTGGAACGCTGACCTGTCATATGAGTGAACTGACTACCCCGAGGCTGCCATTCTAGAGAGTTCACACACGGGTGGTCAGGTTGACCATCTCAGTTCAGCTCAGCCTTCGCATCGTACCTGCCAGGATGTTGGGTATGTGCGTGAGACTGTCTTGGAACATGCTGGCTGAAACCACAGTGGAACACCCAGCAACGCCATGTGAGTTGGACATGTACCCAGACCGGCTCTGCCCAAGTTCTTACGACATTGTGAGAAAGACTAAAACTGTAATTATTTTAAGCAACGTTTAGGGTCATTTGTTGTGACACAGCAATAGATAACTGCAGACTTCAATGACATCATAAGTTGGAACTGTGACCCCTCCATTGTGGGGTACACATTCTCTAGCCTGTCAGAGTGGACAAGAGAGAGGGAGCACACAGATCTCTCTTATCTGTCCTATAGAATGCCATTGGTCACCACTGCTTCTAAGCCTGAATGGACTGGCAGGAAAGGCGGTTGCCCATTGTTGTCTTAAGTGATCTTTGAGTTATCTGACGATGGGGGTTCTGGGCATCCCATCTGCATAGGAACGTGGTATGAGCACTCAGTGGTAGACCTTCCAGCTTCTCAATTCCAGGGTCCCCTTACATAGAAGGCAGTCTTCTTGGGTGAGTTTAGAGCAGGATTTCTCAATTTGAGCTTTTGGTTGTGCCCACTTGACTCTGAGGAAATTCCCAAGTCCTTGTCATGCCGAACAGGTTTTCCACAAGCTGCTCCTCTACCATATGATTTCTCTACAGATAGTTCATTAATCCCCTGTTCTGTATCTGGAAGGTCTCTTTCTCCCCACTGGCCATGTAGACCATCAAAGCCATCATCACTGTGTGAGGGCACTTGAAGTAGCAAGGCTGACACTTCCAGTCAGAGCCTTGGGCTTCCACCATGTAGAAGATGAAAGGAGAGTTTGCATTTTTGCAGTGGAAGCAAGTATCACTGATTCTCAGTTTTTGATTTTTTCATATTTGGAGAAATCTATCTTTTTTAGCTATTGATATGATTAGAGCACATGCTGGCTCTAGAGTTTACTTACATGCAAATTAAGAAACCCTCTCGAATAGGTTCTCATTATTTATGTTGGTCCTTACTAGGAAATAAGCAGAACTGGGATTTAGATACATTTATATATATATACATATATATGTATCTAAATACACATATATGAGCATATATATGTATATATAAATACATATAAAAATACATATATATGGGAATATATATGTGTATATATAAATACATATAAAATATATATATATGGGCATACACATACACACATACAAACATGGAGCTATATATGTATATATGTCCATATATATCATCTTATCCATATATATGTGAACATATGTATATATAAAATGTTATACAATAAGATTGTAAGAGTGATGTCAAATTAACATTTCTAAAATATGTATCTCCCTGATCTGTTCCAGTATCTGTTCAAAGACTACTGTTTATTTTAGAGCCCTCAAGGAAGTCTGCTGGGGTAAATGTTATGCATTGATGTGAAAAATAAAGAGACTAAACATATACCACATGGTAGCTAAAGATTTACAGTAAGAATAGCTTATTGTGGGCTTTATTTTGCTTGAATTTGCAGAGTTTAAAAGTAAAATGTATTCATATTCTAATGCATAAGGCTGTTTTCACTGATCAAACTAGCCAGCTAAGCAGGAAACTATCATCATGGTGACTGACTGAGAAATAAATAGATTACACTTGTACTGCCAAGAAGAAAAAAACATGTAAGTATACCTTATTGCAGATTGAACTAGCATATGTTCCGGCCTGACCCTTACATTAAAAATCTCAGGCAAAATGAAATGTTACAATGATTGAATAACTTCCAATTAATTAAAAAGCAGTCATTAATCAGTTGCTATAGTCGGAGGTCCAAATAATTTATAAGACTCCTAATAATTCTTTTATGCTTTACTGCCTTGCTGTCTTTATGATGCTAATGTTGAGAATTTTAAGAAAGAAGGAAGCTCCAAAAATTCCCTTCATTCCAATTATCAGAAACTATCAATGGATTATTTGCATTGATTGTGGGACAGGTCTAATATCAGTGAATTGACTCACTAGCTGCTACATTTGGGGAAAATTTTGTATGTAAATATATCATTATGAATTGGGATTAAATTGTTGGGTAATTATTTTTTGAGGTTATTTGGTATATAAAGCTATTTTGTTATAACTGTGTTTTACTTCAACATAATGAATAGGACACCACCTTCATATGTACAGAAAAATTAACCTCTGGCATTGCTATCCATAATTCAGACTAAACATAAGTTCATGTGTTCGTTGTCATGAGCTTGCCCTGAATATAATTTACATGCCAAACACTGTGTTGTGGTTTATGACAAAAACAAGACTGAAGTCTATTAAGGATATTAAAGTTTAGGAGTAGTTAGAAACTGACCAAAATAAGTGACAACAGTTCAATTGATGCTCCTTTCCAGGGACTTTCAGTTTAAGGATGTTCTTACACAGCCTCCAGGGAGATGTTACAAAAGGTTATAAGTGACCAGAGTGTGGTCATGTCATGATTAAGAGCTTAAACAGAAAGAAATAGATTTTGTGATACAGTTTTCTGAAGAATTTCATCTGCCTGCATGCCACATCGCTCGCGATGAAATGATGTTTAGACTAAATGAGAAGAAAGCATCTAATTTTTCTAGAATAATCGTAAGCAATAATACTAGTATAAACTAATAAACTAAATAAGTCTTATACCTCAATATACATTCAGTCAAGATGAAGACTATGGTCACGCTGTGAGTGTGAGGAAATGGAGGCTCAGAGCTCTTTCCTTTGCAGCCCCGTGTCACACAGGGGGTGGTGACCAAAAGGGGCTGTGAGTCCTGGACTCTCTCACTCCCCAACAGAATTCCACAGGGACAGTTAATCACATGACTATGCTTTATTAGGTATATTTTAAGTAAGTTTTTAGTTAAACTAGTCATAGTGATTTTCATATGCATAGAGTACCAAATAGTAAAAAATTATTTATATATTTGCAATCTACGTATAACTAAATTGAAATTATATTAGTCTTGATATCTATTGATCTATCTATCTATCTATCTATCTATCATCTCTATCTACCTGTCTATCTATCTAGGTTTGTTGGACTGTTACCTATTACAGTTCTATAGTGAACAGTCACATTTCAGAAATTTGATATATACTGACATCTATTAACTACTTGTATGAAATCACCTCTTTTAAAAAACTGTTTATTTATTTTGAGAAAGAGAGAGAGAGAGTGCACACATGTGCGAGCTGGAGAGAGGCAGACAGAGAGGGAGACAGAAAATCCCAAGCAGACTCTAGCTATCAGCACAGAGCCCCACCAAATGGGGCTGAATCTCACAAACTGTGAGATCATGACCTCAGTCAAAATCAAGAGTCAGACGCTTAACTGACTGAGTCTCACAGGGGCCCTCAAAATCACCTCTTTTTTATAAAATCAATGATGAGTTTTACTTTCCTTCCACATATTAATTTAATTTTGTTGTGATTATATTAAAGACAGTCACTTAAGAAGAGTTTTTAAAATTATAGAGAGTTGAACATAAAGTGAAATGGCATCTATAT